AAAAATATTTCTTCTCGCATTTTTAGAAGCAAACTCGGTAATTAAACTTTTGTAATCAATATTGTCCACTTTTCAAAAATTCAACAAAATATTCATGTATTTTATTTGGATTACTAGATAAGTCTACACGTCTTAAAATCAATGATATTTGTTCTGGTGACTTGCATCCGGAGTACAATCAAGTATCACAGAAAAGTATTTTGCTTCTTTGATTTTCTTAATAATTGTGCTTTTGATTTTAGAAGCTAAAGAAGCTATCAACTCATTTTGAATTTTATGTGAAAGATAATGCTATTCAATTTCATTACTTTCAATACGCCGCATATGTTCCTTCATGATAGGATCCCACTTTGCAATCATTTCAATTAGTCCTAAGAAATTCCCGTTACTATCCTCAAGAGGTCTCTCGTTAGTTCCACGAAAAGCCAAACTATTTTTAGCTAAGTATTGCACAACATAAATTATTCTTTGCAGTACTTCCTTCCAATGTTGTTTCTCTTTTCTAATTTGTTTTTGAATTTCTACATCAATTGTTGCAGTTTTCTTCAGTCTAGTAAATCAATCCAAGTAGCCATGTTGTTGATATGCACACTACTCATTTCATGTTCCTTAAGCCTGACACTGAGATGTACTCTGTCACTAAATCCTTCATTTATTAACTGACTTTTTTGTAAACCTCTTTTAAATACCTTACAACAAAAACAAAAAACTCTATCAAGATCATTTGAATACACCAGCCATGACCTATCACGTTTCTCACCATTTGATAAATAACGAGTGTAATGGCTTGAATAGAAACATCTAGACAAATTATCTTTAGGACCCTTTTCTAGTGACATGTCTCTTGTAGGACCATTTATCACTAGCAAATCTCTAGATTTTATATCAAGATTATCCCAAGTTCTTGGATCATAGATGTTGAAGGGAATGGACCTATTATGAATTAAATCATCTACATCCTCATTAGTATCATTTTCTTTAAGAGATTCATCATCAACATCTTCACTAGTATCGTTTTCCTTAGGAAATTCATCAACATTATCATTTTTGTCATCATCAACATTGTCAGGCATATCATTTTCATTTTGTCTCAATTCCTCAATATTTTCATTTTTATCATCAACATTGTCAAGCATATCATGTTCATTTTGTCTCCATTCCTCAACATCTTCATTTTTATCAGTTTCAAGTACTTGGTCCACTTTTTTAGTTTCTTTAACTATAAATCTATCAATAGCACCTTTTTGAGAGACTGTCAACTCTTCAATTTTTCTCTTTTTGGTTCTTTTTTTCAAATCCAGATTGTTGTTTTCTAAGATACATTTTAAGTATCAATTTGATGAGTGATGACAACAGTAAAAACTATAAAAGTTGAAAGCATATAATGTTCAAAGGAGATAAAAAAAAGAAGAAGATAGCACCTGATTAAAGATTAAATTGGCAAAATCTTTTAAGCAATTAAAACAATCTTGATTCTTCAAAAATCTGTGTATCACCAATCAAACGAAAAGAGAGTCAAAGGGTAGTAAACATTCAATGAATCAATTTCATTAGTAGATTTAAGGAAAAGATGTCGAGGAAACACTTGTAAGTGTTCAACTTCTCCGGAGGAAAATTATGTCCCGCTTCCTCAATCCTCAGTCCTCACGTTCAAACAAAGTGAATTCAGATTTTAACAAGTTCTTGCAAAGCGAATTCAAATCAATGAAATCAAAAGAGATAATAGAGAAAATTAACGGGTAATTCAAATTTTCAACGAGGGTTTAATTAAAAAAATGAATCATCAATCACCGCGTAAGGAAAAGAGAGAATTCCCAGATTTGAAGATGCTTTTTCTCCAAAAAGACGGTTTGTTTCCTTCTTCCCTGGCCTTCTCTCCATTTTTAGTTTTTCTAGCCGGCTGGATCCACTTTCCCCTTTTCCTCTCATTAGTTAAGAATATTATATTAAAAATACTATGATATTTAAGAATATTATATTTAAGGTAGTAATACTATTTAAAAATATCATATTCAATAAAATTAGAAAATTATAATTAGTTAGCCACAATATTCTTAATTTTAATATCTTATGCATAATAATAAAAATTTTATATTATAAAATTAACATATATTTTAAATATTTAATTATAAATAAATATACAACTATAACAAATTTATTTTTTGTGCCCCTGTGCGGTCGCTCAACTCGCGCACCCTCATGGCCGTCTCTGCGTATACAGTAAATATGTTTACTTTCAATAAACCTCATTTAAGTCATAATCCTACCCAGTGGAAATATTTGCCACACATCTCTCTTTATTTTTCCTTTTATTATCCTTCATAAGTCAGTTTCTTTCAACGAGTCCAAAAAATACTACAATTAAAAAATCTCTTACTTTTCACACGTGTCTTACATCTATATTTGCCATTAAAAAAACACCACTAAAAAAAGTGAATGTTCAAAGAAACATATAGGTAGCAATTAGCATCATGCGAAGAAGACTTCAGAGAAAGTTGCTATACATCTTAGTGTTCTAGAATTGGGTCCCATTTGCCGCCCTTCAAACACTACATTTAGCGTCCCCTACTCGTCCGCCTTTGACAATTGGCCATATCCTTTACTGCTTGTCAAATTTTTTATCAACTTTTCAATTAATTAAACATCAATTTAACCACACATGATATCAGAAAATTTATCGATACCTATCGACAGGAGCGGAAGCAGACAATTAAAGTTGGGGGCACAATCGAACTTGCAAAAAAGTCGAGAGAAATTTTTCAATCGAAAATTTACATCCAAAAAAATCATACCCTATGTAATTTTGCATCCGAAAATTTACATGGAATATGACTTTTCCGAATGTAAAATTTTGATGTCATATCCTATATAAATTTTCTAATTTTTTTTTCGGATGTAAAATTTCGAAAAATTTGGATGTCATATCCCATATAAATTGCCTAATAAAATAATGCAAATTACATTAAGAAATTTGTATCACAGCAATAATAAATGTTAATAAAATAATTAAAATTTTTAAAAAAATGCGAATTAGACGCCTCTTTTTAAGATGTACGTTTGACTCATTTTTAACTATTTTCGATATTTGTTTGAACTATTCAATATACATATAATGTAGTTCTCGAAACGAGATTTGAGATGATATAAGCGATTTGTAGATTCGACTACCGTAAGACCATCAGAGAATTTTTAAAATTAGCATGTTATCGAAATTCTCAAAATACTAATTTTAAACCGCCTACTTTGACAAGTAGTAACATTTGCTACGATTGGTCGTTTCACACGCCGTTAACAACATAAAAAACTAGACTGTGAGCACTTCGAAATGATATTAAGAATGTAATATTTCGATTTCGTTTCACATTTTATAATAATTTCAAAAATTGAAATAAAACATAGAAAAAAAAAAAAAAGCAAAGCAAAGCAAATTTGGTGGGGCACATCCCCCTTGTGTCCGCCAGTGCCTATCGACTTTTATCAAAATTCGATAATTTTTTTTTTTTTTAATATCAAAACTGTCAGAAAACCCCTTGATAATTTTGAAATTATACACCCTAAAAGTTCCATTTTTTCTCAAACCTTTTGAAGTATTGATAGTTTAGCACTATGGTAACAATAGGAGTTTCATTAGAAGTAAGATAAATCGATCAGATTTTGGGACTCTAATATAATTCACATTTCATGCATCTCGTCAAAAATTCATAATTTCATCATGCATCAAATTTGTACTTTTATTATAATTACTTGGCTGACAAGTCAACTATTATTATATACTCTCATTACATCCCAAAAAAGCGCGAACATTTGGACGTGTTAGGGTGTGACAATATATAAAAGGCATGCAACTTCTTTTTTTAGTCAAAATAGCAATAAAGAACAGGCATGTATAATTTTTAAGTTTTTTAGTTGTTTTGAGACTAGTCATGATTTCCTCTCGTGAAAGATATAACAGATCAATTTCAAACGCTATTTCAAAGTAATTATGTATACTGTGCAGTTTTGATAGTTCAAGGCACGGTTCGTTTTTGATAGTCAAAATAGAAATAAAAAAGCAAACTAGTTTTTTAATAAAATACTCAATTTCAATGTGTACCACACATATCACAATTCCACTTCGTCAGATTTGTGGGATCTCTGAACCACTTGCTGCATATCGAGAAACTACAAACAAAGTAACACATCAAGCTAGATAAGAGATATTACATCATATTAGTTTATTCCACCTAGTAGGTTAACATTTGGTATGGCAAGCTGTTACAACAGCGTCTGTGAGGTGGCCGCCCCCGCAACTCAACGCCCTGATCAGCCCCCATGCCCCCTTTCCTTTGCTTCCTCTTGAACTTTTGACCTTATCATCCCCACTTCTAAATTGAAACATTGGCGGAGATGGACTACTTTTTCGGCGGCTCTGCCTGTTCTTGATGTCCCTAAATTTCATCTCTGTTGAAAATCCTGTAATTCCAAACAATAATAAGTACCATCTAGCTTTCCCTGATGAAGAAGAAGTTAATAATGACATTTTTCCAACTGGAAAATCTTTCCCTTTTCCCATATCATTGCTGCCGTACATTTTATTTGATGATTCGGGCAATATTGCCAAGGACTTCTTTTCAATATTCTTCTCCATGGGTGGGCTTTTTGTACCATTTTTATTCAACTTCTGCCAGAAAAGACCTTTGCCTTGCAATCGCATTTTCTTGGTTTCAACTAGCTTTGAATCTTTCGCGGCTGGGAAAGGAGGTTGTTTATAGGGAATTATTTTTCCGCAGAAGATGATGTTCTCTGGTGGTAAAGGGATGGTGTAAGTACTCATGTCTTGACTGAAGAACTCGAAGTAATCTTGTTCCAACGATGAAGTCGAGCTCGAACCACCATTTGACTCTGTGGACAAATCCTCTTCCCAATCAGCAACACCACCATCAGTGCTATACAATGGAAGATCACATAAAGAAAGTGTTTCTTCTGCTTCATCTGCGTACTCCTTCATTCTTTGTGAGTACTGAACGGTTTCTTCAAGTGATTCTTGTACAGGCATCATGAGACTTGAACTTAATATGGATTTTTTGGAGCAGATCACGGAAAGTTGGATGCTTATATATACATATATTAAAGATGACTCCTTTTTATTTATTAATAGTACGCAAATGTTGAAAATTAAAAGGTTTGGTTTATGGTTAGTAATTGATCATTGCTTGACGGCTTTTTGGCGTTGTTCTAGAAAGCGTTAGGAATAAAAGAGCTTTTGGGTTTCTAGAAGAGCAGACTACAGACCAATGTGATAGGATAGAAAATAAAATAAAAGGGCCTAATGACCAATCACAACACATTTACCCCGTTTGGAGATTAAAATAATATTTTTAATAGATTTTAATTAAAGTTAATAAAATTATGATTGATTAGCTTTAGCTCCCACAAAATATGCATTTAAAATTATTTCATGACTTTGATTAAAATTTAGATTTTAATCGGTATCAAATAATGGCTTAAAAAGTTGGCTAATTTTATACTTTTTTTGTACTAATTATTATTATTATTATTGCTGCTGCTACTATTACTATTACTATCACTTCTTTTTATCAATAAATTTTGAAACAAGATGTTTTACATTCTGAAAAATTATGTTATACACATTTCAACATTTAGTATTACACCATCACTATCGTCGGCCATGCAATTTGCAAAATTTATTGTTATATTACTGTCGTCTTCGTCACTATCATCACTTGTAATATTTATTGTTATTCCACCACAAGTAATGTAAATGTTTATTTTATGAATAAAGTGGTGTTATACAAGTTTTACCCACAAATAACAGGTTTTGCAAAGTAATTTGGGGTGTTTCCAATCTCGTGTTGGCACACGTGCTCAAAATCTTTAAAGGATTTATACCCTACTGAAAAATTAGTATCGACACCTTAGGCTCGAGTTTCGTAAAATCATTAAAGTTAAAATAAACAATTAAATGCCTAGGTGTCAACAATCATATTTCGAGTGTCGACGCCTAGCCAATAAGTTTTTTTTATATAGGCTACTAGGGATTTGATGTAATCATCAGGTGTCCCTTACGTGAAATTTATATTAAACCCTTTTTTAACTATTCTTTGTCTATGCTTAATTTCCGTAGGTTAGTGATATAATAAATATGAATAAATCATTGTATCTCGAGCTTGCTACAAGTTGTCATATCAACGTTCAGGTACGAGATTCTGTAGAAGTAAAACGTGCATGTATCACCATCAACCAACACATCAAGACCGCGAGTGCTTTTACATGCTTATTCGACAACATAAAATATTATATGATATGAATATGTTTAACTTGAATCGTATGTAATTAAAGAATAGAATTCAAACACAAGGATTACAGCTGAAGATAAAACTTGCGTAGCTAGATAAAATAAAATGATATTTGGGAACTACATCCGTAGGAATTCGTAGCATGTACAATCATAAATTACGGATCAAGAATCGTTATTTGAAAATGATGAATTCTAAGATTTTTCTATGATTGAATCACCTTACTTTCTAAACATCAAATTCTGTATTTTCTAGCACTCTAATGGTCTCAATCTTGATTGCAATGGAAGTGGATTATAATCCACAACCTAAGTTCCTAATTTTGTGAATTTCTATGCCAAAAAAAGATTTTAGGGCCTTTCGAATTTATGTATGATTTTCCATATGAATTTCACACTTTTCTCTTGCCATCCTTCTTTCTTCCAAATGCTAGACAAATAGTAAGAGGTTAAAATTGGAGTTATGGGAAGTTATGAGGAGTTATAAGTTTGAATTCTAAATTCAAATCACTCCCTTCGATCATTTTGATATCGTATGTTACCCCACATGGGCGATCCACGACTTCTATTTTCTAATATTTCTCACTCGTATATGATGGATTTGACCCGAACCACAAATGACAACCAGTATCACATGTTAGATCCTACTCAAAGTCTATCTCACGAAAATTTATATGGCAAATAGATCGTGCAATCAGCGAGTAATATTAGAGTCCACAAAAATATAAACTTGTTAGAGATATAAAGTAGCTCTGTTGGAGGAACATTACATCTCGCTATAACCCAAACTCATTTTTCAACATTAATTCAAGTATTTTTTATGTCTCAAGTATTTATAGAACATACTTGAACCTCACATCGTATCATTGTATTCACAATTGTGTCATATACCCTAAATGGTTAAATACAATTGTCTGACCGACGAATACGAATAAAAAATCTTGGTCAAACAAATTAATCATAGCCATGAGTAACATGCTAAAGTAGCAATATTGAAATAAGATATAAAAAAAATAGTCAAAAGTTATAAAGGCATATATAAGGTCTATATAAACTTCAAAGTCTCACACAATGAGGAAGTAGGGATTCATTCACCCATTTACTCAATATTGGTCGTAAACACAACATGCGGTGTGAAACACGTGTTATAATGTTTCTCCATTTCTTAGTGTGTATGTCATATTCTTTATAAATAAGCAATAATGTACATATCCTAATTCAAGTATTCTCTGATATCTAAAACTCGATTTGGCTATAAAACAGGTCTAAAGGACAGTGAAATCCATATCGATTAGTTATAATCTCATATTTATATCTCATCAAGGCGACACATAATGCACACAACATGATCACTATATCTCATCTCAATAAACTCCAAAAACCATGTTCGATATACTTTATATGTTCATGCAAATCATTATTTCATAATCCCAACAATAGATTACACATGAATTCAAATTTTTTTTATCTAAGGGCATACAAAAAATTCAATCAAGAGTTTTTTGATATACAATGTATCATATTTTATGCAATTCTAGTGATTCAAGGGATACTTTCAAGATTGGCCTAGTCAACAAGTACAATTGCCACTTTGACTTTTCAACTATACTGTATTTTCACATTGACCTATTGGAGGTTAAAAGACAAAAATGTTCTTAAATAAGTTATACAATTACAAAATATTATTTTGTTTAAAAGACTATTTTACCATTTTAGTTAACAATTGAAAATCAAACACTTTCCACTTAAAATTTCAAAATCACTTAACTTTTCTTATCTGTCTATTCCAACACAGATAAAACTCTCTCAACTTTCATCTGTTTCAATATCAAAATCTCTGAAATTTATCGAACGTTGAAGAAGGAAATATTTTGTAATATCAATCACTTTGAATCAGTAAGTATATTTACGTATATTTTATTTTGTTTTCGTTAAATTTTTATACTTTTTAATCGATAAAAACAACCGAAATTTTTCTTACCTTTAACAGTAGAAAAAATTTATCGATTAAATTTTTTAATCAATAAATAGCCGACTTGGATGTGCCGGCTGTTAAAAGCTGACTATTCTCAGGTTGTTCAACCTTTTTTTTTAAAAAAAAATGTTGCCCCAGTCAAGCTGAATGACTATGTATTTTCTTAAAAAATTATGTTTCATCTTGCAGATATGGTTGTAATGCTAGTTTGTTTCTTTAGTAACTTCGAATTGGATGAGAAAGATCAATGGGTATGAAGACGGACAAGTGATAAATGTGGTGGTATTCCAATTTTCATAACGGAGAATAGTTGCAACATAAGCGGGAATGTACCACGATTTACAAAACAAGCTGAATGTTGATCCCTCTCAGTATGATATGGAACTGAGATTTCGATTCAAGGCTGATTCATCTATTTCGATTTCACCTATGAAGGTTACTTGTGATGAAGAAGTGAATTATCTATTTGAATTGAACAAAATGTACACGACTCCTCTTTGGGTGACTTTAGTGAGGAAGGATGTCGCCGAAAGTGGACACGAAGATTCGATTGGAGGGGATTACAATGCCAATGATTTTTGGCACACAATGGAGATAGCTCGTGAGGATGATGTGGTTATTGTCGAGCCAGTTGTTCCTCATCGTGATCTCACTGTTACACATAGAATTTCGTCGGCAGTTCACGACAACGAGAACAACAATGAATTTACAAATGATGATTTGATTGCTTTATCCCGTAGGAGACATAGGTGAGGTTGTATGTCGAGCAACTGTTCAAAATAAAGAAAGATTTGTAGAAAGCTGCACATCGAATTGTATTGAAATACAACTTTGAGTTCAAAGTTAAAAAATCAAACAAACCATTGTTGACGATTGTCTGCGTCGACGACAGTTGCCGTTGGCATTTGCAAGCGACGAAAATGGACACGAATGAGTTCTTTGTAGTTCGAAAATATAATCGGGAACATACTTGCAAAGTGAGAATTCATCGAAATTATCATAGACAAACTCGAGCATGGTTTATTGGTCGACAGATAATGTACAAGTATCAGGACCCACAGACGATTTCTAGACCTTCGGACATCATTAACGACGTCCGTCGGGAGTATGGAGTGGTCATAAGCTACCGAAAGCCTGAAAGGCCAAATAATGTGTGTTGGAGGATTTAATGGGTTTGGCCGAGGAGAGCTATGCTAAATTGGCTAGGTATTACCATAACATGGGAACAACTAATCCTGACTCGACCTTTTTTATTAAAACGGAGGGTGAGAATTACTTTAAGTTTTTCTTCATAGTTCTTGGACAATGCATTCGGGGATTTCAAAATGCGATGCAACCCTTAATTCTAGTCGATGGTACAACTCTGAAAGCTAGATTCGAAGGGAAGTTAATTATTGCTAGATGTCAACATACCAACATCCAAATTTATCTTCTTGCATTCAGCATAGTCGATAGTGAGAATGATCTGTCGATGCGTTGATTTTTCACAAAGCCGGGGGAAGTAATTAGGGAAGCTGAGGACCTTGCCTTTGTAACTGATCGGGGACCGTCTATAATAAATGGTATCGCTGAGGTTTTTCCCGAGGTATATTACGGATATTGAATGTACCATATATAAGGCAACTTGAAGAACAAATATCGAGGCAAATACATCGTTTCATTGTTCAGGAGAGCTGCCAAAGCTTATAGTGTTGAAGAGTGTAATAAGTTTACGATAGAAATATGAAGTAAATCATTACCGGCATGGGTGTATCTGACAAAAAAT